GGACTGCTTCAGCGCCTCCGCCGCGGCCGCCAGCCCCGCCCGCAGCTCGCTCTGGCCACGCTGCAGCTCCGCATGCAGACCCTCAGCGTCGGGCTCGTCGTCCGAGTCGGGGGCCGCGGTTCCGAGAATCAGTTGCCCTCCGAGACGTCCGACTCCGAGTCTAAGTCCGAGAGCCCTTGCCACCGTCGGAACACGTAGTTCAGGACCCAGCCGCCGAGCCCCATCAGGATCGCCTCGAGCGCGTTCGACTCCCAGGCCTCCAGGGGGAGCCCCCCAGTAGTCCGACACCTCCTCCGCCGTCTCCTTCGCGGCCGCAGCCGCCTCGTACATCCTGAGGCACAAAGGGGCCCAGGTGGAAGTGCCGCCAGACCCGCCATGGTGCGAAAGCCCCGCCCGCGAGGCTCCCCCCCCACGAGCGGTGAACCCACCCATAGCAGAACAGGTTCGACCCCGTGGCCCAGGCCCAGTTCACCAGGCCAGCTTTCTCCGAGACCTTCTTCCCGCTCGACTTCCAGAAGCCATTCTTCTTGTCGCCCGCCTTGCTCAGCTGGACGTTCTCGGCGTCCAGCTCCTTCCGTGCGATCAGACGTGAGGAAGCAGCACGCGCCATGTCCCTAGTCTTGTCCGTCAAGCCAGGGAAGGGCGCCCACGTGCTGATGCCGCGAGGCGGCTTCGTGAACACGGGCAGCTTGTCCTTCAAGCGCGCGATTTGGACCCTGAGGCTTGGGTCGACACAGGCCCACGTCTGGTCGACAGCCTTGCCGACGCGCTCCACCAGCAGCATGGCCACGCCCGAGGCTTGGCCCTTGGGCAAGTAGTACACCCTATTCCATTGCGCCCACCCGCCCATGACGAGCGGTGGGCTGCCCACGACCCCGATGTCGGCGGCGTCGTCGACCAGCCCCACCGTCTCCGACGCGGCGGTCTCCTCCGCCGCGTCCTCGCCCTCGTCGCCCTCGCTCTCGCCCTCGAACCTCAGGCCGAGAAAGTCCAGGACCTGATCCTGGCTCAGGCCGCCGCCCGCGGCCAGCGCCTCCCCCTGGAGGTCGCCCGAGAGCCCCAGGAGCGCGAGCGCCGCGCCCGCGAAGGCGAATGGCCGCGGAATCGCTCCGCGGTGGGCGGCCGCGCACAGGCGCGACCGCAGAAAGGCCCGCCCGCGGGTCTCCCCGTGCCGACTTTGAGCCCGAAAGGGACGGGAGGGAAGGAGGGAAAATAGGCGGCAAACAGACTACGATGGGGATGAACAATGAAGTTCAAGAGCCACTATTTGCGACGCATTGGTTCGCCCGCCATGCGAGGGGGCCGATCGCGCTTGTCGGATTTACCGGGGCCTCGTCGTCGCTTGCCACTGTCCGTGTGGAATCAAGACTTGCGCCCCGCGAATGGACTGGAGGATGGGCGCAAGGTGAGTCTTTCAGCTGCGGGGGGGGGCGCGGGCGTTTGCCGGGTAGAGGAAGAGCGGGGGAGGGGATTGGCAAGGCAGCGGGCGGGGATGGGGAACGCAGTGGCCAGGTGAGACGCTCTGATCGGGGGAGCGACGTGGGCGGAGGCCGCAGATGGAATTCCCCCGGATAGCCCTGGGACGTTCAGACACCTCCGCCCGGAGGCCAGCAGAGGGTTCAGCGGCCCTCGCCTTCCTGACTCTGCGGGCGGGGCGCGACGACGAACCCGACCTGCGCCCCGCCCCTTTCGTCGGGCGCCGCCGCTCGCGCTCCCAACGTGCGCCGCGCCCCGGCCGCTATGTGCCGTTCTGTGCGTGCCCCCTTTTCGCGCAGCATCGGCTGCCCGCGCTGCCCGTCGCTGAGGCCCCGCCTCCGGGGCCGCTTCCCGCCGATATCCCACGCCTCCTGGTTCAGCGAAGCCAGACGTGTGCCTGGGGGCCTCGACCTCGCGCGGCCCGCTTCCCTCCCCCGCCTGTGCCCCAGCGGCAAATCCGCGATCCGATCCCCGGCGCTTTAGAGTTCTTCTTCGCGCCGGATTCCCCGTCCGAGGGCGGCGCGCTTGTTCGCGTTATGATTGTTCTTGCGGCTTCCGTCAAGCCTCGCCGTGAAACGTGGCGATCGCTTCCGCGCCTGGCACGCAGCGTCGTCGGCGCGACCATCGCCTTCCATCGTGGGTCGCGGGGCGGCAGCCGTTCGCCCGGACCGACCGACGCGCCAAATCTTATTATGATTGTCACCCCTGGTCCCCGCAGCAAGGTGCAGTTTTGCTGTGTGTAGATGTAGATGCGTTCGACTGGAAGACGGCTCCTCGCTCGGCCGCGGAACCGCCGCCGTTGCCGCGATTTTTGCGGCGGCCTCCCGCGGGGGCGCCGCCGTCGGTTTCTCGTTTCCACCTCCCGCTCGCGCCTCCGCTGCCCGACTGGAGCGGTGGGTCCGCGTCCTGCCCGCGCGCCGCCTTCTCGTGGTGGGAGTGGTGGCTGATCCCTCCACCCGCCCAGTCCTCGTCTGCGTGCCTCTCTGCGCACTTGATGCAGCAGTGGCCTGGCTCCCAAGGCGAGGCTGGGGCGCTGTGCTCCAGGCGCGGGCAGCCGGACCCGGGGCGCGGCTTGAGCTCGCGCGTCTGCGGCTCCCGGGCGAGGCTCCGCTCCGAGCCCGCCGGGGCCGCTCCGCTGGCGGGCGCCGCCATCGCGTGCGCAGCTTCAGCCAGCGTCTTCTGCGGCTCCTGGGTCGCGGCCGTCTCCGGCCATCGTCGCCCTCGGGGGCGTCGTGGGTGCCCGGGGCCCCGCGGCTATCCACGGCCCCTCCCCGCGCGCCACCCTCCGCCCCCGCCCGCGCCTCGCCCGGCCGGCAGGGGGGGGCCTTGGCTCCGTGGGCGCGCATCGTCGGCGCCTGGGTGCCTAAGTGTGCGGTCGCCGTGTGCCGCTTCCTGCCGCTTCTCCGCCTCGCCAGCTGGCGGAGGGGGGCCGCGTTCTTCGGGCGTCTGTCGTCTGCTCCCGGATGCCTCGTCGCGGGGTTGCCCCGTGCCGCTTCCTGCTGCCTCTCCGCCTCTCGCTCCTCGCGCGGAGGGCCATGCCTCTGGCCGTCCGTGCGCCAGCAGGTTCGGCAGCAATAGAAGACCCGTAACTGCAGGGCTGGGCGACGTCGGTTGCAGCCCGCCATCTTGCAGAGCGGGTCGCCTTCGTGGCCCCGCCTCTGGCGACGCGCCTGGCCGCCTGGCGCCTCGTGGCCGGGCGGGTCCTCGTCCTGCCCGCCGTGGGGGGCCTGCCCTGGGGTACGCATCCTGGAAGTCCTCGGGCTCCTCGTCAGGCCCCCCCTTGAAGGTCGGCGCGCTCGCGAAACCCGGGCCGTCCTCCCTGGCGCCCCCCGTGACCGCGAGGCGCCCGCGCAGGGGGGAGGGCGGCGGCTCCGGCCGCGCCAGTGGCGCCCCTACCGGCGGGGGCGGCGGTTTCCAAGCGTGGGCCTCGGCGGGCGCCGCCTTGGCTGGGCGTCCTCCTGCCACCCGTGGCTGGGTCTGCCCGCCTGCTCTTTGAGCGGGCCCCGCCGATGGCGCTGCTCCTGCAGATGGAGGCTCGTCCTCTTCATCGCGCTTGGACCACGGGGGCCGCTGCTCGTTCTCTTGCTGCCGAGCCTCGTCGCGCGGGCTGTGCCACTCCCCGTCGGTTTTGCGGCAAGTGCGGCGGCAGTGCCAGCCCTCCGCGAACTCGAATTGAGCTCGGCCCTGGCCGCGCCCACTTGCACAGGGCCGCAGGCGGCCCGGATTCTTCCCCGACCTTCGGGAAAGGCAGTCCGGGAAGGATGCCTCCAGAAGGCAGCGTGCGCGCCTCTGACCCTGCTTATCGCCCGACAGCGTCCCGCCCCGCACTTTCGCTGCCCCTCCGCCCTTTTGTCTGCGACGACTTGGCGTCGCGGGTCCTGCGGGCGCGTCTGGCGCGCCTTCCGCCGCGCTTGCAGCCCGTCCCAAGCGGCATCCTCCCTGGCCAGCGGACAGACCCCGCCTTGCACCCCTCCTGATCGCCCGCGCGGTGCTCGAGCTGCGCGAAGGCTGCCAGCTGTGGGGTCGCCGACCGAGTCGCCCAAGCTGCCAGGGTGCTCTGCGTGGCGCCCTCGGCGACCGCTCGGCGGAAATGGGCCGGCGCGCCGCCCGTCGGCCTCCAGATCTCTTCCGCTCCAAGCTGCCAAACGCTTGCAGGGGTTTCTTCGGGTCCATGATCAGGGCGCGGTCGACCGCCTGCCCGCTCGCCGCCCCGCTCCTGATGCTTGGGGCGGGGCCCTCGGCCGGAAAACGATCTCTTTGGCCCCCCGTCCTTGGGGTGCCAGTGACCGCGTGGCTTGGCCCCCCCCGGTCTTGGCCCTGCCACTACCCAACACTCCTTGAAATGCCTGGCCCGAACCGCAAACCGGGCAGGCGAGCTATGGCCCCGCCCGCCCACCCCAAAAAGAAGCGCTTGCCTCGCTAGAGGCCTTGAGCACAGAGTACGGAGAGGCTGCGCACCCGAGCAAAACCCTCCGTTATATCCAACTTCAAATTCCTATCCCCATCCACATCATTTGTCCCGATCCATTCCATCTATCCATAATCAGATCCTATAACTACTCTTATCCCCATCCGCAGCCTATCCCTAGCCTCCGTCCCGATCCCTATCCCAATCTCAATATCCCTGTCTCTAAATCCCGAGCCCTAAATCCTTGTCCATACCCCTACTCCTATCCCTAGCCCGATCCCTCCACCGTGTCCCCCCATTGTGGCCCCCATCGCAACTGCGTCAAGCTGCGAGGGTCTCCTGCCGCAGAGGTGCCATTTTTGGGAAGCAGGCACGCGAATAACGGAAGCTTCACGGCGATAGCGTCGATTTGGATGCCCGAGCTAGGGAACCAGGGCCTAAGCCTCCGCAAACGGAATATGCCCAGCCACATGTCGAAAGCCTTTTTTTTTTTCTGAGGGGCTTGCGTCGAACGCCATCTACGCCCAGAGGCCATGGAGACTCCACAACGCCTGGGCGATCAGACTGCAAGCGGGGCGGCTCAGCGGCTGTCCTGGCGCCCAGCGCACGCCTGCAGGTGCCCTGGGTCATCCCGCCGACGCTCCGCTGGTGGCCGTCGCACTGGTGGCCGGGGAAGCCGGACGGTTGGTGTGGGCCGCAGGAGCGCCATTGTTGTTGCTGAGATGGGGTGCGGGGCGCATTTTCCGCCAGGTAAGGATGAGGGAATCGGAGGAGGGAGGAGCAGGAGGCGGGAGGAGGAGGAAGAGAACCATCGTCAATCCGCAAGGGCCCATAATGCAGGAGGGAAGGGGAGGAGGACCAGAGGAAGTCTAAGATGCATCAGAGATGTTGCAATACGTCCACCCGTCCCAAATCCCATTCCCATCAGCCCCTGTAAGAATTCCTTCTCACTGTGGGAAGTACCCCCCTGAACGACGAGGGCCCCATGGTCCTGCACGTCTGGCGAGAGGCCCGTTCGGAAATAGAGCTGTCATCCATGCTTCTAGCTGTGGGGACGGCGACGAGGAATAATCGTAAAGTCAAGGAATTGTCCAGCGAGAGCCACGCTCCGAAAGGAGAACATATGTTCTCCAAGTGTAGCGTCTGGTCATACAAATTGAAGAAATTGCACACGAGAGTTTTAACATTCAGTTGTTACAAGTTTAAAGATGTCTGAACATACGGGCTCAGGAAGTCGCAAATGGACGTCATATTTTTCAAAGGAACCGTGCAACCTTGGGAAGCTTTGAAAACGAATGTGCGCGGCGCGAAGGCGCGAACCACATCCTGTCCTTCCCTTGGTCGGTGTAGCTGTTGAAGCTTCTCGAGACGACTGTGCGCGGCGCAAAGGCGCGAAACACATTTTGCGAAGGAACCGCCCATCATCTGTGTAATTGTTGGAAGCTTTTGAAGCGAATGTGCGCGGCGCTATGGCGAAGTACAGGATTTTGAACACGACCTCCTTCCAGCTGTGTATTTTTCCGCTTACGGGCTCTTGGGAGGTAGGTCCAGTCTTATGAGGGTTGTCTGGGTCTGCTGGTCTCGTCCATGTCTCCGGGCCTGCCCCGTGTCACAGTCAGAGGTTGCAGGGAGGACCTGAGTCGGGCACGAAGCTGTCACGTAACCTCTCTTGTACCGATGTCGTCATGTTGTCGGAGGCTCTTCCTGGAACAGGTCCCCAGAGACCCTCCCAGGAATTTGTTCCCAGTTAAGGTGTCCCACGTGCAGACGGATTCTCCACACAGCAACATCGCATGAGGGCTGTATGGCGCTGATGGCGGTGACGGAGGCGACAGCGGTGGTGGCGTGACGGTGACAACGACGGCGGTTGCGATGGTGATAGCGAGGACGCTGACATTGGTGATGATGCAGCGGGGGATTCGGGCAATGTCGCGGAGACCCAAGTCGCGCCGCTTGATTGAATTGTGGGTGGAAGCGCTGCAGTTTGCTTACGTCGGCAGACGAGGGAGTCGGGCTACCGCACACGGGTTGCCGGAGAGCCACCTTGCTCGGGCGTGAGCGTGAGGACTTGGTGCGATTGCACGTCTTGGGGCTCGAAGGGTACGATGCGGTGGCGTTCTATGACCAG